GACTGTTACCAAGTTTGATATCGAGAAGTTCGACGGGAAAATTAGCTTTTCTATTTGGAAGGTTCAGATGGAAGCCGTTCTAACCCAGAACGGTTTGAAGAAAGCGCTAGCTGGGAAGAAGAAGAAACCAGCTACAATGACAAATGAAACTTGGGAAGATTTGGATGACAAGGCACATTCAACCATTCTTTTGTGACTGTCTAAAGAGGTTCTACGTGAGGTGGTAAGTGAGACAGTTGCGTCAGATTTGTGGTCCAAGCTGGATACGCTTTACATGGCCAAAACTCTGGTGAACACGCTAGGCCTGAAGGAGCGTCTGTACACAATCCGTATGACGGAAGGTACTTCTATTAAATCTCACTTGGATGAATTCAATTCTATTTTATTGGACTTGGAAAATATTGATGTCATAATTGAAGATGAGGATCGCGCTGTTTTATTGCTTGTATCTGTAACACCCCCTAATTTCCACGCTAAATTAAGCCTTAGACATGCAGAATTGCAGATAACTAGTCATAACATCATACACAGCGGAAGACTAAACAGGGAATATATGAATAGGAAATAAAGGGTGCTATGCCACGTCCACTCAAAGGTGAACGCACAGGCGAAACATCTGCATAAATCCATAATCTAAATTCATTCAGAAACAGGAGTACTAATGTCTAACATTGGCACACAGGCCACAACATCTCAAAACAAAGGGATCTAAGCTAACAGGTTCTAGACCGCACTCTCATCTACTCATCACCTAAAAGAAACACATAAAATAAGGGACGACGCCCGGTCAACGAATGGTGCTGGTAACCCACCAATACATGTGAAATATCATATGTAGATAGATTATATGTATACAAAATCATTTGCGAAATGGGATATAGTATATATCAATTTCAAAAGCCAAGATAGAGATCAACACAAGACTCTATGCACTCACAAAAGATAAGGGAACACATCCCAATACGACAAGAAGCAATAACGACTCACAAGAACTGCTCAAGGTATAATCTACCATCACACAGTAGATTAACACCCGACATGCATAACACAAAAGAATAGGGACACACCCATTGGCAGCACAAGCCTTTGTGACATCACACGTCACAAAATAGAGAAATACACAACAACGGCTACACAAGCCTTCGTGACATCACCCATCACGAATTGATATGCCTTCCTTATGCCCGGTTCCAACCTTATGGCTACCCCCAACCTTATGTCTAGTTCCAACCATTACCTCCAGGACCCCTGTACACCAAGTCCAACCTTTTCCCTCTGAGGACCGTCATCCCCATCCGCCGACAAACCGCCAACAAAACCACCAATTCATAGTACACGAGGGTACCGATCACACACATGGCAACACATGCCTCCCAAGAAATACGTGAACCCAACACACAGGTCACAAACTCCATAATCACGTCATGGCCACCACGAGGACCACTTCCGTACCTTGGTGACTAATGTCCCATACCATTAATCGTGCAATCCAGGTACAGCCACACACACCACACCACAACAGGAATCAATCAACGGATCACAACAAAGATATGAAACCATACTCAATCAAGGAATGGATCACAATCCAACCACAACGATGAATAACACAAGTTATCATCAACGATAGGAAGGTACAAACAACACACACGCTAGCATTTAAACACCGAACTAGCATGCTTATAAAACGGGTAAACCGAAAGTAGTTCCGAAGAACACACAAGACTCATCACGGTTCAACGAATCACAATGTTGAACACTTAGCACGATTCAAGACACCAAACCTACATGGATTCCTACCATATAGTTCTAGACATACGAAACATCAAGAAGACGCTCAAATAGTTCCACAAATGAACATCGGGAAGTCAAAAGACCAAATACCGAGTCAAAAGAATCACAGGGAACAAATCCCCGCCAAACCACACCATGTACCCCGCGGGTGGGCCCACGGGTGGACCTCTACCCGTGGTACCGCCCGCGGGTACACACCCACAAGCCACCTGTACCCCGCGGGTGGGGCGGCGGGTAGGCCACTGCCCGCCGTTCCGCCCGCGGGTACACGCCTGTACAATTGATGAAAGTAATTTCTATATATCAAAAGAGAACAAACGGCATGGCTATATATACAACTAGACTAGCAGAAAGATAGTAACAAAAGGCTAAAGACTAGGTTCACAAGCTGATATATCGTAACTGTCTAATACACCCCCTCAAGCGGTAGGCGGACACGGTACAACGCCAAGCTTGAAACGGAGGTCTTGGAACCGGGAGGCAGAAAGTGGTTTGGTGAAGATGTCGGCAAGCTGATCATTAGTAGAGACGAAGTTCACCTTAAGATCTCCGGACGTGACTTTGTCTCGAACAAAGTGATAATCCACTTCCACATGCTTGGTCCTTGCATGAAATACTGGATTCGAACAGAGGTAGGTGGCGCCGAGGTTGTCACACCAGAGAACTGGGGTGGTGAGACAGTCCAAGGCGAGATCCCGAAGTAGAGACTGAATCCAGACGACTTCTGCTGATACATCGGCTAGTGCTTTGTACTCCGCCTCAGTTGAGGAGCGTGCAACAGTACGCTGTTTCCTGGAACTCCAAGAGACAAGATTAGGGCCAATAAACACTGCATACCCAGCTGTAGATTTCCTGTCGAGTGAACACCCCGCCCAATCGGAGTCTGAAAAAGCGTGAACCACTGGAGACACTGAGCCAGTTAAATGAAGAGCCAGATGTTGTGTCCCACTGACATACCTCAAGACGCGTTTAAGAGCGACCCAATTGTCCTGCTTAGGTTCGTGCATGAATTGGCACAACCGATTGACCGCAAACGACAAATCTGGCCGTGTGAGAAGGAGGTACATTAGAGAGCCAACTAGTTGGCGATAAAGAGTGGGATCTTCCATAGGTGATGAGTCCACAGAGGGTGTCGACGTAACTGCTGTAATTGGCGTGGCTAGTGGTCTGCATGAGTCCATCCCAGCTTTGCGAGGAAGAACCATGGAGTGTACAGGGCTTCAATGCCGAGGAAGAACCATGGTACACCAAGATCACGGATTCTAAAGGTCGAAGAGAGTCGTGTTAACACTGTTTGTACCTGTGAAGCATCATTACCAAGCAACAGAATATCGTCTACATATATCAAGATGTAGATTCGAACTCGTCCAGGATCATAGATGAACAGAGATACGTCTGTTTTTGACGGGCGAAACCCGACACCAACAAGGAAATCATGCAGCCTTCGAAACCAAGCCCGAGGTGCCTGCTTTAGGCCATACAACGACCGCAGTAGTTTGCAGACATGGGTGGGGTACCCTGGATTGGTATAGCCGGGTGGCTGGCGCATGTAGATATCCTCCGTGATGCGTCCGTTTAGGAATGCATTATGGACATCAAGTTGCTTCATGGTCCAGTTATTCGAAACCGCATAGGCTAGTAATAGCCGTATGGTAGCCGGTTTGACTACCGGGCTATAAGTCTCTGAATAATCGATGCCCGGGACTTGGTTGAACCCTTTGGCAACCAAGCGGGCTTTATATCTATCAATTGATCCGTCTGATTTCCGTTTTATACGATATACCCATTTACTGCCTATTACATTCATAGTAGCATCAAAAGGAACTAAAGTCCACGTCTGGTTCTGTAGAAGAGCATTGAACTCCTCATCCATAGCGGTGCGCCACTGCGGAACCTTGACTGCTTGGGAATGGCATGTGGGTTCATCGTCGTCAACAGAGGCAATCATGGCTCGAGGAGGACGCCTTTGTTGGTGTGTCGTTGTGCGCAGGGCCATGGTATGTTTTCTTGTCGGTGAGCGTTTCCTCCTCGTCCTAATTGTCGCGGTCGATGAAGTGGACGGCTGGTAAGAGGAGGATGTGGCACCACCTGATGATGATGGTTGAGATTGTGGAATAGCGCCTCCAGTGGGTGATAGAACCGGAAAGCCACTGTTGCTGGCATCTGGCTGTAGTGTATTGCCGCCAGTGTCTGAATGCAGAATACGGGCACACGCCCATGGGTATTGTGAACCGCTCCCAGTCGCCTGCTGAGAGTGTGTCGTTGTCAACTTATAAGGAAAAACATCCTCGTTGAACCTTACGTGACGAGCTATATAGATTCGCCCGGAGTCCCTGTCAAGACACCTGTAACCACTGAAAGAGTCGGGGTAACCCAAAAACACACGTGACACAGAACGGAACTCCATTTTATGGTGATTATAGGGACGCAGGCACGGAAAACATTCACAATCGAAAACTCGGAGCATATTGTAATCTGGCAACCTATGGAAAAGACGGGAATATGGGCTATGATTTTGTAACACGGATGTTGGCATGCGATTTATTAAATACACAGCCGACTCAAACGCAAACGACCAATATTTATGGGGAACTTGACTGTGGGCCAACAGGGCCAGTCCTGTCTCCACTACATGCCGATGCCTGCGCTCAACAAGGCCATTTTGTTCATGTGTGTGTGGGAAAGACTGTCTATGTAAGATCCCTGCGGATGTGAACACCGAATGCAACTTACGGTATTCACCACCCAGATCGGACTGGATGCCTTTGATGGGACAGGAGAAATATTTCTCAACAAGAGAACGGAAATGAGTAAAAATAGGATAAATGTCGGTTTTATTTTTCATTGGATAAAACCAAATGTATCTTGAAAAATCATCGACAAATAGGACAAAGTATTTAAAACCGTCAATTGAGGTGACCGATGATGGTCCCCAAATGTCGGTATAAATTAATTCCAAGACAGATTTAGTTGTATGATTAGTTTGAGATAAAGGAAAGCGTGTGGACTTTGCCATTTGACACGCGGTACAAATATTATTCATAGAGTTCAAAGATCGACTGACTGAACATCCGGATAAGATTTGACGGAGGACCCGAATATGTGGGTGGCCCAGGCGGTTATGCCAGATTTGAGGTGACGTTTTCGCTGACACTAGAGCCACCGGAGATGACGTTATTAGCGAATACATCCCTCCAATGCTTGGACCTCTAAGGAGCGTTTGATGGGTGACCAGATCCTTCACAAGAAAACAAGTAGGGTGAAATTCAAAATAAACGTGATTATCTTTTGTGAATTTCTGAACTGACAACAACGACGCACGTAACTTTGGGACATGTAATATACGGTTTAGAGACAGTGACCGTAACGGGGTGGGAATAGAAACCGAACCAGTATTGAGGATAGACAGACCTGTACCGTCGCCAACCTTTAAGTGTTCTGTGCCGGTGTATGGTTCTGTGTCATTAATTATATCCTGATTTGGAGTAGCATGAGCGTTCGCTCCTGTATCTGGTAACCAGACATTAGTGAAGGGAGCAGAATGCAAATCATCTTGATGAAGAGCCACATTTGCATGCGGGGCATGAGGACGAACTGCAGGAGGTGGAGGGTTGCCGCCAGTGCCATCGGAATAACGTCTATAACACGTTAACGCCGTATGCCCCGGGATATCGCAAATTTGACACCGTATACTGCCTCGACCACATTGCCCCCTCCCCCGCTGTCCACGATGGCTTCGTCCGCGACCACGAGCGACCGGTGGCTGCTGGCTGAAGAACGCCGCCGGCGGAGCAGCAGCGGCGGAATGAGCATCTTCTAGAAATAGGTACTGGTGAGTGGCGAGAAGATCAGCAACCTCCGGTAATGTTAAGGGATTGCTGTTTGCGGTCAAGGAAGCAACTAGGCCACGGTATTCCGGTCGGAGCCCCCTGAAAACATGAAGATTCTGTTCATCTAGGGAGACCGGCCGGCCAGCTTGCATGAGCTGTTCGATGAGAACCCGAGCTCTGCCCAGATAGTCTGAAGGGGAGGAATCACCTTGGCGCAGATTCTGGAGTTGGGTGAGAAGGCTTAGGGATCGTGCTCTCGATGAAGAACCAAGCGCAGTCTCGACGGCAGTCCACAACGATCGCGATGTTGAATGGCCAATGGCCAAGTAGAGAACTTCTTCGGCAAGGGAGGAAAATAGCATGCTCAAAATGGATTGATCTTGTTGGATCCATAGAGCATGCGCAGGGTTGATGGCCGGAGGGGCATCGGAAGACGACGCAGCCATGAACTCCGGCGGACAAGCGGTGGTGCCGTCAACGAAACCATATAGGTTCTGACCTCGTAAGAACGGCACAAGCTGCGCTCTCCAGAACAGGAAGTTCGAGGCGGTCAGCTTAATGGAGACGTAGTGATGAGCTTGGTTCAACATATTGGAAGATGGGGTGGTTCGTGGTGCAGTTTCCGGTGGTGAGGTGGTGGCAAGAGCCTGGTCGGCAGAATTATCAGGGGATGAGCTGTCATTAGAGGCCATAGGATCGATAAGAAGGCTTATCTGATACCAAATTGATGAAAGTAATTTCTATATATCAAAAGAGAACAAACGGCATGGCTATATATACAACTAGACTAGCAGAAAGATAGTAACAAAAGGCTAAAGACTAGGTTCACAAGCTGATATATCGTAACTGTCTAATATGTACCATAAACAATCCCTTCGGGGATTTTCAACTCCAAGCTCAAATTCAAGTCCAAAACATGCCAAATCTCACCAAATATAACAAAATGACTTGAATCAAAGGAATAGCCAAGCAATGACATACAAGAACCCTAATAACAAGCTCTAGATATGCATTTTCACAAGACAATGCATCAACACTCACATTTCATAGCAAAACACATGTAGAATCCAAGAAATCATCATATAGGTAAGCAAAATAGATTTTGTAGAGCATGAGTTACCTCTTGAAGACTCAACTTTCACTTTAAACACTTCACAAAGCTCTCAACAAGGTTCCCTTTCCACACCCACTTCAAGAACACACCAAACAAACATAAAGATTTCACCTTTATAAAAAGATACCTTAGAAAACACTAAAAACACAAGAGGAGCTTAGATCTTACCCTCCTAGATGCTCAAAAGTATGAAAGGTAGAATCTTGAAAGAAAACTTGAAAGATCTTGGTAGCCCTAGGTGTGGCTAGGAGAGAAAGCTAACTAGCTTTTTAGAGAGAAGAAAGAGAGAGCTTATGATTTTTCTCTTGGAGAGTGTTTGAAGAAATGAAATTTGTCTTCCTAGGTTAGCTTGAAAGACTATTGCCAAGGAAATGTCTTATTTTCCCTTACTAAGATGAAATGTGTAAGGGAACAAGGGAACAACTCACAAAGCTTTAGGTACAACTTTTGACTTTGGGTTGACTAGTCAATTAATAGTCCCCGACTATTGACTTTTCAGGAATTTAAGGAATTGAATTAGGATTAATTACTTAATTAATCCCTTAATTGAATTTGGATTACGGGGTGTAGTATCTCTCCCTAAATCATACAAGCATTTCAAAGAAATTATGTTGTACGGTAATAGTAGTGATACCCTTACTTTCGACAATGTTAAGTCAAACATATTGTCCAAAGAAAAGTTTGACTTTGAAATTAAGTCTGGGGACAAAGGTGAAGGCTTGACTGTAAGGGGTCGTTCACTTGAAATCGAGAATAGCAATAAAAATTCTAGATCCAAGTCCAAAGGACGGAAGTCCAACAAATCCTGTAAGTACTGCAAGAAGCAGGGTCATGATGTGACTGAATGCTTCAAGCTGAAAAACAAGCAAGAGAGAGATTAGAAGTCCGCTAAAGCTTGTATTGTTGAAAGTGATTCAGAAGGCGATGTTATGTTATCTGTTAGCTCCGGTTGCAAACGGAGCGAAACCGAGTGGATTCTGGACTCTGGTTGTACATTCCACATGTATCCTCACAAAGACTGGTTCATCTCTCTGGAACCGGTTGATGGTGAAGTTGTCTTGCTTGGTAATGATACCCAATGCAAGGTTAGTGGAATTGGAAGTACTCAGATTAAAACTCATGATAACGCTATCAGGACTCTTACCAATGTTCGGTATATTCCTGATTTGAAACACAATCTGATATCCTTGGGCACGTTGGAATCTCTGGGGTGCAAGTACATAGCTGAAGGTGGAGTTCTAAAGGTTATAAAAGGCTCTCTTGTTCTCATGAAAGCTTCTCGTTCGGGAAGCTTATACATCTTGCATGGCAGTACTATGACAGGTTCAGTAGCGGTATCCTCATCGATGTCTGATGCGGATCTCACTCAATTATGGCATATGCGTCTGGGGCATATGAGTGAGAAAGGCATGCATCTCCTGAGCAAGAAAGGTCTCCTTGGTGGTTCAGGTACGGGTAAATTACAATTTTGTGAGCATTGTGTTTTTGGGAAACAAAAGAGGGTTAGTTTCTCTACTGCCACACACCGTACCAAAGATGTATTGGAATACATACATTCTGATTTATGGGGACCAACTAAATTCCAGTCTATGGGAGGTTGTAGATATTTTATGTCTATTATTGATGACCTTTCTCGTAAAGTCTGGGTCTATTTCCTGAAATATAAAAATCAAGCATTTTTTATTTTTAAGAAGTGGAAAATACTTGTTGAGACTCAGACAGGTAAAAAAGTCAAGAAGCTCAGGACAGACAATGGCTTGGAGTTCTATGAGTCAGATTTCAATGACTTTTGTGCGGCAAATGGAATCGCCAAGCACAAGACCTTGCCTGCTAAACCCCAGCAGAATGGTGTTGCCGAACGTTTAAACATGACTCTATTAGAAAGAGCTCGTTGTAGCCACAAAAATTAATTATTTCCTAACAATCTCCACCTTGGATCAAATCCACTGTGGGTATTAACAACTGGAACAGTCGAGGCCGTTTTTGGGCCGAGGCCGTTTCTACTTCTTGCTATTTGGTAAATAGATCTCCACATTCATCCCTTGATTTTAAAATTCCAGAAGAAGTTTGGTCAGGTAATCCTGTTGACTACTCTATCTTAAGAGTTTTTGGATGTCCTGCTTATGCTCATTCCAGTACGGGTAAATTAAACCCTCGAGCTGTCAAATGCATTTTCCTTGGTTATGCTTCTGAGTCAATAGGGTATTGCCTATGGTCTCCTGATCCTTAGAAAATCATTCTGAGTCGAGATATCACTTTTGACGAAAATGCACTACTTTCTTCTGGAAAAGTTCCCAGTACAGATGAGACACAGAGTACTGGTGAGAAGGTGGAGTTTGAGTTCAGGCCCATTGACAGTATTACTACCACTAATGGTAATACTAAAGATGATGCATCTACTTGCATCACACCTCTCGTCGAGCCACAACGAGAGTATTCCATTGCTATGGATCGTCCTAGGATGACAATAAAAAAACCTGCTAGGTATGCTAGTGATGATGAAATCAACATGGTTGCTTATGCACTTTCAGTCACACAGGAAATTGATGGTGATCCATCCTGCTATTCTGATGTTTTTCCTAATTCTAAGTTCAAGTAGTGCTTGAGTTTAGTCGACTGTTCCAGTTGTTAATTCCACAGTGGATTTGATCCAAGGTGGAGATTGTTGGGAAATAATATTTTGTGGCTCAAAATCCATGAGACCATCCTGCTATTATGAGGCTCTTCCTATTGCTAAGTTCAAGGAGTGTTTGAGTTTAGTCAACTGTTCCAGTTGTTAACTTCCACAAATGGATTTGATCCAAGGTGGAGATTGTTAGGAAAATAATGTGTGGCTCAAAATCCTTGTAGACCAACATGATGTCACCATGCAGCAGCACCACGTCGCATGCGCCTCACACGTTCTCTCCGTTCATTGCGGTTCTCCTCTTTGTATTGCCGCATGCCCTCATTTCTCTCCCAATTTGATTGTATAAATAGCTTAATGTCTTTTCTTTTTAATGCACCTCATTATATCAAGTTACTTCTAGGACCTAGCGGGTAGTATCCAACCTAGCAAACAAGATGTCATCCACATATAAAACAAGAAAACAAATTTTACTCCCACTCACCTTTTGGTATGTACAGTTATCTGAGGGATTTTCAACAAAACCAAATGAAGAAATTACCCCATCGAACTTGATGTACCATTGACGGGAGGCTTGTTTTAAACCGTATATGGATTTCTTAAGCCTACATACTAAATGCTCACCACCCCTAGAAGAGAAACCTTCAGGTTGTTTCATATAAACCTCCTCTTCTAGATCACCATTTAGGAAAACGGTTTTCACATCCATTTGTTGCAACTCAAGATTAAAATGTGCAACTAATGCCAGAATGACCCGAAGTGAATCTTTCTTTGATACAGGAGAAAATGTCTCCTTGTAATCGATTCCTTCTTTTTGAGTAAATCCCTTGGCAACAAGCCGGGCCTTGTATCTCTCAATGTTGCCTAATGAGTTCCTTTTAGTCTTAAAAACCCATTTACAGCCAATGGTCTTGGCCCCATTAGGCAACTCAACAAGATCCCAAACTCCATTGTCCTTCATGGAATTCATTTCATCTTTCATGGCTTCTAACCATAAGTCAGACTATGCACAATTTGTGGCTTGAGAGAATGTTTCAGGATCATCTTCAGCCCCTATGTCAGATTCTTGTAGATACGAAACATAATAACTAGGAACTGCTGATCGCCTTATCCGAGTAGACCGTCTTAAAGCTGGACCCTCATCACCTTGTATAGGCTGCGGGGCAACTACCTCTTCAGGAACTGGTGACAGTTCTTGAATTGGTTCAGTCTGCATCGGCTCATAATCTTGTTGTATATCCTGAGTTGGTTCAACCATTGGTTCGAAATCTAGTTCAGGCGGCTGCTGTAAGTCCTGAACTGGTTTTTCCAAAGGCTGATCCTCAACAGTTTGTGGAACCTCAATGGTAGGTGGTATATCTGCAGGCAGAACTAAAGGAGCACTGCGGATAAGTACAACCCCACAAGATGACGTAGAAGGTTGAGAGTCAATATGATCGAAGGAAGGAACTAAGTCCTTAAACCGATCACTCCCACTAATCAAGTCATCTTCAAGAAATTTAGCATTCCTTGATTCCACTATCCTAGTAGTATGAGATGGACAATAGAATCTATAACCCTTAGAAGATTGTGCATATCCAATAAAGAAAGCACTAACTGTCCTTGGGTCAAGTTTCTTCTCGTGTGGGTTATATATCCTCACCTCAGACGGACATCCCCAAACACGCATATGTTGCAAACTCGGTTTCCAACCTTTGAATAACTCAAACGGTGTCTTAGGGACAGCCTTAGTTGGAACACGGTTTAATATATACGTTGCTGTCTTAAGTGCTTCATCCCACAACGACTTCGGAAGCTTAGAGTTGCTAAGCATACTCCGCACCATATCCAGAAGGGCCCGGTTTCTTCTTTCAGCTACACCATTTTGGCCCGGAGAACCAGGCATGGTGTATTGGGCAACAATCCCATGCTCTTGAAGAAACTTAGCAAAGGGACCAGGTGCTTGTCCATTC